TTATATAGCCCTTAGCCTCATGGGTCACCCATAAGGGCCACGTTGCTGTGTTCTGCAGTCATGTTTCTTTCACTTGTGGTCAAAACCTGACCAGTTCAGCCTAAACTACAGCTCTCCTTGCAGCTCCACCCCAACCAGCTCCCCTCTTTCCTGCCTTTCCTTCCAGCAGTTGGAGAACTGCCAGAGCAGTGATGACCTGTGAAGTCCCAAGTGTCGTATTTCTCCACCAGATCACTCCATGGTTTCACATCCCTCTTTGACATCACTTCTAGAATCTGCTGTCTCTATGGTGGGAGTTGCGACCTATGAAGGTGGAGGGGTGATGGGACTAGCATTACTGGGCTGCATCATACCTTTCAGTTCTGGGAAGGCAGTTTGTTTCCGAGGAATAGTTTCAACAGACAGAAACAAAAAGCCAAAGCTTTCTCTTGCTTTCCTCCTTGCTGAATTGCAAGTTCCTCTTGGAGGAGTTCAAGCCACCCCATTTAACAGAGGCATGTTTCTTGCCAAGAGAGCCAAGCAGCTATTGCACGGCTGCAGCTGATTCAGATAAATCCAAGACGTGAGGAAGAAATGGCTGAGGAGGACTCAGAGCCTGAGTCATACCACAGTCACAGTCCGCAGACACTCAGCACAGCAACATAGACTTTTACAACCTAGACAGCTACAAAGATGAATGCACATTATCAAACCAGCACAGGATGAACTGGGTTCTGAGAAGGTGCAGAGTGATGATCTATTGGAGGGGAAGTATGTGAAGTGCAGAGAGATTTGCTTTCTTCTCTCATGTGCCTCACAGCTAAAAAGCTTGCTGGAAAATACTACTTTAAATCAGGACCTGAAAGTACCCTATATCTCCCATTTCTGTAAACATGGAACAATTCCCCCAAAATATGCCAGAGGGCTTGTCAGAAAAGAGAAGTAGCAGGTGCTATCCCTGGGGTTAGGTTATGCTGTGAGTATTTTGAGAGATCTTACATCATTGTGGCCAGCCCAACTGTCTGGAGGGTTAAATATTTCTCCTCCCTCCAGAGGATGTGGTTATTGACCTAAATGAAGTGGGGCACATGACTCCCCAAATCAGCAAGCGCACCCAACCCTGAGCTGTGAGAGCTCAACCCAACAAGAGCTACTCAAAGCAAGAATATATGCAGTTCAGAATCAGGGCTATGGTTACACATGCATGAAAGAGAAGTTTTGCTGAAATAGAGAGCTCAGTAACCTTCGTACAGTTCAATAATGAGGTAATATGTTCTCTCGCCACATGGTTTTGAGGGCAGGAAATGTAATAGCTCCTTACCTTGCTGTTTTGTTTAGATTTGTGTACAAATACCTCAGTGTATGTTCCCATCACAGGACTGACCTAATCTAGTTGAATGCAAAGAAGAAAATCAGCCCCTTACTCTATAATTTCTTCAAAAATTTCTTCATGAAAGAACATCAGCCCTGTGGTAGGCTGAGGAAGCATCCTGCTCCACCAGCCTCCACAAAGGCCTCTCCAGGTCTCACATCTGCCCTCCTCCTGGGAGGCCACCATACAGCAGATTGTCCGATGGATGGTGGGGGTGGAAAAAGCAGGAGGGTTTGTGGAAACAGGGAGGTACGAGGAATGTCTGCTCAGAGGAGACCCTGTGAAAAGAGCACACGGGACTCACTACTGCAGCAGTAGCTACTCTCTGGTAAACAAACACTGCACTCTCCAGAAAGACTGAGTTTGCAGCTGGGCTTGTAGGAAATAGCACAGTTATGAGGCTACAGTTGCCTTAATTTTGGTTAGCCACTTCCCATCCTTCAGCAGCCCCATGTATGCTCTTCTTGCTTCTAAGAAAACAGGAGAATGGTTACCAGGCAGCAGTCTGCACTGCATTGAATGCATAGTTGGAAATAACACAGTCAACATAGGGTGTCCTCACTTCCCAGTCGCACAGGCCAGTATCTCCCTGCTCATGCCATAGCTCCAGCCTCTCCATGGCGACTTACAGAAATGTGGTCTGCCAAGCTCGAGGGGATGGGCCAAGAAGCCTGGGGTGACAACATGGCCCCTCTCCTAGCAGCACCCACAACAAACATGCCCCTGCAGCAGAAGAGCAGTGATGCATCACAGGGGTTATCAGGCACAGCAAATTTGAGGTTTTAAAGTATTTATATATGTAGTTGCTTAGCAACATTTGCAGCCACCTTGCTGATGTAAGCCAACAAGCAGCATCTAAGGGCTGTAGTACTGCAGGTTTCCACAAGCAAGCACTCAGCACTGTGGCTGCCCAGCCAAAAGCCATGATGCCAACCGGGCCAGGGGTGTGCTTTTAAAAAAAATACTTTTCCCCCACATACTGGTAGCATGCAAGCAATAGAGAGAACAGGGCTGTGGGTGGAATAAATATCAGATTCAAAGTTAGACTGCAAGGGTGAAACTCCTGCACAGAATGAGTCAGAGAGGAAAAAAAATGTCCCAACTGACATTACAGTCACTGACATCACCATTCACCCCCTACATACACATGGACTGTCCCAGCAGCTCCTGCTGCTCTGCTCCTTTTGATGTGGGATGAGTGTCCCCACAGAGTGGGGTGCTCGAGCTCTGCCCCGTGCTAGCATCAAGGAACATTAAGCATCATCTCTGCCCCCAGTTCCACCATGCTGTTCTCACCCTCTCACCTTTTGGTTGCCCTTTAAAGGCACAGGGGTCTATGTACCAGCTCATTAGACACAGCACACAGCATGAAGTGAGTGATGACGCACTACCTCCACACATAGCCTGCCCTTTGCTAAGCTCTGCTGGGACAGCTCTGAAGTTCCAGCCATATTCCTATCCTTCCCCAAGTGTTCACTTTGCAGGATTAGCATTTGTTCAGAATTCTGGGACAGTTAGACATCAAACTAATCGATTACGTGACCAGTCGCCCCACTGTCACTGTCCCGCAAACCAAGGAGAGAAGGAAGCTGTCCCGTTTCCAGTTCAGACAGTTGCAACAGAGTTCCACATGGCCCTAGTGAACAAGCATGTCACAGGGGAAGAAGAACAGTGTCATCAGCTGAGGCAAGCAGGGCCTCTCCACCATCTCCCCACATCCCTCCTGGTCACTGTGCTGACCAAGGGGTAGCTTCTACAGAGGGGAAAACCAAAGGAAACATCAGGGCCTGTCCTCCAGCAAGAGGGAGCTCCCAAAGCAGCCTCTGTACAACACTATCCACAGACATCCCCACTTTGCCAAACATACTGGGGATAAACCCACAGCTGCAAACCTGGCTTCACAGCAACAAATCTTGTTTACTTCATTTCTTTAAGGCAGTCAAGAAATAATCCCCGTAACGTACCATTAGGGTAAAGTAGGTATCTCATCTCCTCTAACACATGGAGGTGGAACAGAGTGTACTCTGCTTCAGGCTCTTTCCTTCTATTGAGCACCTCCTCCACCCAAGTTCACTTGAGGGGATGTCTGAACAGCTGCAATTGCAATTTATATGCCCTGCCCCTTCATAGAGCTGCTGATGAGCCCTCCAGCTGCTCGTGCCCCATTCTCTTCCACCTCTCCAGCAAGGCCAGTGCAGCTGGGTGGATCCATCCCCCCTGCTAGAGCAGCCAGGCCCTCTGCCAGCTCCTGAAATTTCTCCAGGGAGCCCCATTCTCAGCAACTGGATTTTGTCCCTGTCCCAGCAGGGCAGGGCACTTTCCCAGCAGAACACAAAGCAGCAAGAATGTTTGAGTCCTCGGGATACAGAGAGCAGTGTATCACAGCAGGGGACACTCCTAAAGCCTCCCCAGCAGATGCTGCCACCCTCCTTCAGGCTGTCCATATATCACTGCTGGCCCTAGAAGAAGTCCGGCAGAGGGCAACAAAGATGATGAAGGGCCTGGAGCATCTCCCACACGAAGAAAAGCTGTGAGACCTGGATCTGTTCAGCCTAGATAAGACAGAAGGGGGATCTAGATATTTATAAACATTGATCAATGCAGTTGGATATGGCCAGACGCTTTTCCACAGTGCGTAGTGGTAGGACCGGGAGCAACGGCAAGAAACCTAGAACACAAGAAATTCTACACAAATATGCAGAACATCTTGAAGGTGAGGGTGACAGAGCACTGGAACAGGCTGCTGAGAGAGGTTGTGGAGTTTCCTTTTTTGGAGATATTCAAGACCTGTTTGGACACCTACCTGTGCAACCTACTATAGGAAACAAATATGATCAGGGGACTGGAGCACCTCCCCTACAAAGACAGGCTGAGGGAGCTGGGCTTGTTCAGCCTGGAGAAAAGAAGGCTGCGGGGTGACCTCATTGCAGCCTTTCAGTACCTAAAGGGAGCCTACAAACAGGACAGGAATCAACTCTTTGAAAGGGTGGATAACAGCAGGACAAGGGGAAATGGTTTTAAATTGAGGGAGGGAAGATTTGGGTTGGATTTAGGGGGAAGTTCTTTACAGAGAGACTGGTGAGGTGCTGGAACAGCTGTGCATGCCCCATTCCTAGAGGTGTTCACGGCCAGATTGAATGGGGCCCTGGGCAGCCTGGTCTAGTATTAAATGGGGAAGTTGGTGGCCCTGCATGTGGCAGGTGGGTTGGAGATTCATGATCCTTGATGTCCCTTCCAACCCTGGCCATTCTGTGAAATGTGCTTTAATGGGGGAGTATTGTCTGTAGAAGTCCCTTACAACCTCTGCAGTTCTGTCAGATTCTGTCAGGAACAGCAGAGCACGGACTGGTCCCATAGACAGCAGGAGCTCAGAGATAAATCTGACAGCAACAGAACCTACCCCATGCTCTGGGTCATCCAGGCACAGGCAAGCTGAGCCCAGGCAAGATGACCAGGGGATCCACTGGAGTCTCCCACCTGCCTTCAGCCAGTGGAAGGCTGCTTAACTCATTCCAAGCCTCCCCAACCCCTCATAGCCCACGGGGAGCACCCAGGGCTGAGAGAAGTGTCTCCTTGCAGGCAGCTCCAGAGATGAAGTAAGCTCACAGGAGCAGGACAAAAACACAGAGACAAACTCAGAGACTTAAAATCCCGTTCATAAAAATATATTAACTGTACAGTGTACATCATCATTGTTACAGTATTGACAGCAGAAGTCAGGGTAGAGGCACTTGGGGTCCAGGCAGGGGCCTTACTTGCAGATACCCAAGAGAAGCAACAGGCCAGCAATGGCTGCCACTGCCTGACATACTGCTGCAGGGACAGACTTCCTGAACCAGGAGAGGACACCAAGGTGTCAGTGAAGCACTGCTAGTTGATCTTCACCCATATCACCATCATGCCACTGTTGAATCCAGAGGATAAATTCCCCAGATCCACTTGGTCAGCAGCCACGAGTCCCTCTTTCAGAGCATAGCCTGATGCCCTCACCAAGAGGGTTTCATATCTTAGTGCCAGCAGAGTCCTGTCCTGCATATGGAGGCAGACTGAAGCCCAGCAATTAAAGCAGAGCTGACTATGTCATCATTCACAGCTGCTAGCCAGCAGACCTCAGCAGATCTCATGGCAGGCCCAAGGCAAGGATGAAAGCGCTGTTCCATGGCTGTGTCCACAGTAATGTTGAGGACCATCCTCAGGCTCCCACTGCCTTTATGCCAGCCTGCCCTGCCCAGCCCCGGGGTCTGGGGAGCCCCTCCTTCTCCTTGACTGGGGTGCCATGAACATGCAGAGCTGAACATGCAGGCCTAAGCTTGCCAGTGCCATGAGACTGGCACAAGCGCAGCTGTCCCCAACCCCACAGCACCAGAAACACATTCCAGTTCTCCCACTGCTGGAGCAAGAAGCAGTTGTCGAGGCAGGATCAGTCCATGTTTGTGGCTGGGATTGTCCTTCCCTGGCATGAAATAGCATGTCATAGCACAGAGGAGCTGTTACCCACTCAGCTGCAGGATGGCAGGGACACAGAAGCATTAGGTACATCAGGGAGGCACTCGGTGTATCTGCTGTGGATCCTTCTCCAAACTTTCCACCAAAACCACATCTCACATCTCTATGGGACAAGCAGTAAGATAGAAAAGTAGTGAGACAATAGCTGGAGGGGGTGCATTACTACAGTGGATATCCCCACGCTTGCTCCCAGAATCACCTGCAGAAGGGTTAGAGCAGAAATCTGCAGTCAGGGCTGCAGCTCCCTTTCCTCATTACTAACTCGAAGTATTACTCAGGGCCAGCCGAAACAACATTTCCTTCCCCTCCCTTTTGCACATCCAAAATGAGTTGACTGATGGGAACAGATACTGGGATCAAAGACCTACTGGGGAGGGCAAAAATAGAAAAGATGACCCCCATGCCTCAAGTTACCCCAGCTAGTGCCAACCTCACAATGCTGTAACGCTGCCCAAGAAAGCCAGCCAGAGAGACTCAGCATGACACTTCCACTCTTCAGGGACACCTGCAGCTAAGCCCTATGTCAGTAAGGGAGCATCTGCAGAGTGATATCACAACCCAGCTGTGCTTTCAGACAGCTGGAATTCCCCATTCCACCACTGCACACAGCATCCAAAGTGGTTTCTGTTCTGCAGATGCCAACGTTCTACTCTGATAGACTTGCTCACTGTCTGCATGTTCCAATGGGCCTTTCCCCAGGCCGGTGCTAGTTGGTACTTATCAGCCTGAACCCTCACATTCCTCATAGGACATTTTCAATAGGCACATATCACTAGGGCTCTCCTCGAGGGCAGTACTGCCACCTCCACTTCAATAGCTGGGGAAACTGAGGTGCCAGAGATATTCACACAGAAGAATTTCTGCCTCAATCGAAAGATAAGAAAAAAAAGTCATACTCCAACTCCACACCAGTGCCAGAGCACAGCCAGCTCTGCAGAAACCACACTGATGTCACAAGCTGTCCCATATATGTGGGAGAGCCTGGTGGACAGAACCACATACATACCCTCTAATACTTTGTCCAGATCCGCAATGAACTCCTCCAGCTCCTGCGTGTCTCCAAGCTTAGCTAGCAGATAGAAAGACACCATCAGTGCTCTTTCATCCCACTCCCCTCCACCAACACCCCTCCAATCTAAGTGAGGAGCACACAGATCAGAGCTGGCAGAGCTCTGGGAAAGAGGTTTCACAACAACAACACTACCCAAGGGCAGCACAGAAAGGAAATTCCCAGGGCTAACTGACTGCAGACACACACCTCCACACCTGAGAACTAGCCGTCTCCTCACAGCCCACCAACCCCATCCTCTCTGCTTCCAGTTTCATACCCAGGCTCTGGGAGTGGCAGCACAATGACCCAGCTACAAGGCACGGAACTTCCTTCACTTGCTTGTAATACCTCCCTAATGCAGGGCAGGGAAACCCCAGCTAACAGCCCTTCAGACAGACCTTCCCAACTTACCTTTAGAGGAGTAAGGACCAGTGTGGGTGTTGAGATCTTCCTCACTGGAGTTCAAGCTGCTTGCTGGGGATGTGCTGGTACCTGTGGGTGCAAAAGCATCATTCACTGCCTAAGGCCAGAGGCACCCAGTAAACAGACTGCAGAACCAGGGACCGACCCCGTGCACACTGCAGGACTCTGGGCTACTTTCTCACTTGTTCAGTCTGTCCGCTCCTCCCTGGCTAGAAGGAATGCTCGTAGGTTGCTGGGCATGATCTTCCCTGTTCTCTCAAACAGCTCTGCAGAAGCAGTACCAGCAGATGCTGGCAGCTCCTGGACCAGGACCCAGCCATAACCACAGCCCTCCCAGACACCACATTACTCATCCTGCCCACGAGTCGGGTCAGACAGGCAGCCCAGGGGCTGAACCAGCAGAAAAACTCGTGTTTTATCATGGAAGAGCCCCAGAGCTCTCAGAGCGATTCCACCCTCAGGAACACCACCCTCCCCCGCAGCCCCACACTCACTCTCCAGCTCATCGATGCCGCTGTCGTACACACTGTGGCCCGCTTTCCTCTTCAGCTCCTCCAAGTGCCGCTCATACTGACTCGCGGGGCCTCTGTCGAAGCCCTCGACGACCTCATCGAACTCCCGCAGCAGATCGCTCAGCTCGTCCGACATGGCTGCAGGGAAGCATTGGGCAGTGAGGGACTGGGGAAGCGCACCGGGCAAAGCCTCGGGAGCCGTCCCAGGCTGGCGACCAACAGACCGCATAGCCGAGAGATCACATAGCCCGCAGCGCCCCACGAACAGGCTCCCTCCGACTGGAGAGGAGCGGGATCCCGGCAGCACACAGCACTTACCTCCCCGACCCGATGCTCCGATGTGGCGGAGGCGGTCGCGGCGCATTTTGTATCAGCGCCGCCGCCCCGCGGGCCGCTCCGCACCAATCGGCGGCACCGGGCGGGGCCGGGGCAGCGCCGGGAGCGGGATGCTGTTACCGCAGCGCCGGTCTGGGTCTCCCCGGGTTTCCCCCCAGCCCAGCCCAGCCCAGCCCAACCTAGCCCAGCCTCCTCCTCCGCGCTGTTTCCCGGTGCGGTTGTCCAAGCGCGGTTGGCCCTAGGCTGGAGGTCGGCTATGTGCTTGCGGACCTCAGCATCTCCTGCCAGCTGCCCGTACTAGTCATTAGCCCAGCTCTTCCAAAAAAGAGCTTTTAGCCTCCAAGAGGCCACTGTCTGTGATAGTCGCAGAGTGGGCTTGTGAGCTTGAGTTTGCCTTGGCCTGAAAAACTGACCTACAGCAAGGGTGAGCAGCTAAGCCAAAAGGGTGATCAGTGGCACAAAGGCTAACTGGGGGGCAGTATGAGACAGAGCACCCCAGGAGTCCATTCTGTGTACTGTCCTGTTCTACATCTTCTCTGAAAAGATGTTGGGGCAGAGTGCACCCTAGCTGGGCTGCAGGTGACACTAGCCTGGGAGGAGTGGCAGACACAGCAGGAGGCTGCACTACCATCCAGAGGGACCTCAAAGCTGCTCTATCCTCTCTGATTCTAGGATGATCAGTGGGTTCTGTCTGTAGTTTCAATTCCCATCACCTTGGTGGTCTCAGGGGGCAATGGGGAGCTCTGATTGCTTTCTGCCACCCCTAAATCTAAGTTGGGAATCCTTTGGGTGAATGAACTGGTCACAGAGGGACACTATAGTCTTCAGAAGAAAAAAAAAAAAAGCATGTCTGTGTTTTCTAACTGTACTCATTTGGAGTTTTCTTTAGCTTTACTCCTGAACTATCAGCTAAAGCTGACACTTTCTGGGTGTAAGCTAGCATCCCTATATTCGTTTCAACGCAGAGTGGCACAGAATATGATCTCAGCCCTCGTGGTGCAGAACCTGTGTTTAGAAGAAATTGCACGTTGGTCATCGAGAAGCAAGCAGTTATTACAGCAGTATTTTACACTGCAGTGGGACTGGCCATGGTCTGATTTGCCATACTGTGCTCCGGGGTTTTCACTGTAAATAACACAGTACTGGGAAAGCTGGAAACCCCAGGCAATTCCCCTCCTACTAAGCCACAAGAGTGCTGGCCCACAGCCAGCTTTGGGCTGGTTCTGATGCAGAACTTTACCAGTTCTAACCTTCTTAAGACCTCTAAAGCTGACTCTAGCTGTAAAACCCCTCTGGTGTTGTGTAGCCCAAACTGTTTCCAGCAGTGTGTGAGCAGGCAGCCCACAGCTGCCCTCAGCAGCATCACTCTGTCCTGGCACCTGGGGGCTGCAAACTGCCAGACAAAATTTCTGACTGTTTTAAAACATATTTTTATAGCAGTTTGCAAATTCAGGTGGGTAGCAGGGTAAAAGAAGCTGAAACTGAAGCATGGCAAAAGCCAAGCAGATTTGCCAGGATCTAGCTTTACTTCTATCCTTCAGCTTTGTGCCTGCATCTCTTCTGAGGAGCAGGCCTATTGGGGCAGCAGCTGAGCAAGGGTCGGGTAAAGTGCTTCAGGAACAACAGTGCTCTGCGACCGATTCGTGAAGTCTTGTTTGTTTGAGGAAGCTGAAATAGAACAAGTCATATGCAAGCACACGTGCCAGGCAGTGTCTGCTGCTGTGCTGCTGAAAGAGCACTTCATGCTGCTGAGAGGAAGCAGCACGCTTACAGAGACAAGTGGTGACAGCTGCCCTCATGTGGAGCTTTCAGCAACATCCCAGTTTATCCCCTGCCAGTGAAGTTTCAAGCCTTGCATGCAGTGGAAGAACCTTACACTAAGCAATTTTCTTTCTTTTCAGTAAAAAATAATAATTAATCTTTGAAAAGTGCATTTCTCTGCAGCGGCTGCGAAGGACAGCCACTTCACGCTTCGTGGTGAACCCTCGGTTGTCCTCTAATACAGTACTTGGCACACTTTTGCACAAGCAAACTTTAAAAGGAGTTTTCTTGCAAAACAGAGCAAATAGCATTTCATCATAGCCATCACTTTCAGGTTAACATAATCAAGAACAAGAATTAAATGCCCCACATAGTGGTGCTTTTGAAAATGCATTTCTTCCCATGGCCCGTGGGGAGCAGCACATGAAACGCAGGGTGTGCGTTGTGCACACGTTTGAAATGAATCTGAATGCAGCCAGCTTGTCTGCCGGGGTGCCTCTACAGGGCACAGAGGTGACTGCAGAACTTTTCGTTGCCTTAAGCGTGGCTTCCAAAGGGGCGAGGCACATCGATTGCTTGATGCTACTCTCGTGTCAGCTGTCAGCCAAACACACAGCCTGAATGTCACTCACATCTTCAAACCCGGTCTGGCTCTGCAATATATTTCCCCAAGGCGCTTCTCATTTGGTGTTTTGCTGGTATCTTCAAACTTCAGCTTGCAACTATTGCCACTGCACACTTGCGCCTTTCCACTGCCTCTTTTGTAACCTCCTCCATCAAACGTGTTACACAGTCACCAGGGAATCCCGTACAGGACACTCCTTTAGGACAGCCCTTCTCAGGATATCCCATCAATCTGCTGCACTAAGCAAGACTTACCCCTCTATTCCCCACATGTCCAACATTCCATATTTCAACATGACAAAGATATGATTTGCAGTCCAGGTGTTGCATGGGCATAATGATTTGAGCGTCCTTATGTCCATTTAAAGACATAGAGATCATCTGCTTTTTCTTGAATTCAAAATTATGAGTATTTGTAACCACTCCTCCCAAATTGAGGATCTGTTTCCTTCCCAGTGCTGTCTCTTGAGGGTTTCACAGAAATGGCATCCAACTGCTGTAAAACCCCTGCCCTGAGCCACCAACGGCACTGGCTACTAGAAGACCTTATCCTCATTAGTGCTGCTAACGAACTCAAGCTGTTGTGGCTGACACAAGATAAGGTGTCACTCACACCCCATGGGGACAGCAAGACCAATGCTGACTGTTGACTGAGGAGCAGAGTCTCACTGATGGGCCAGAGGCTTTTAGGAAGAAACTGAAAGGTCCCCCAGAAGGTCTGCTTTTGCACCAGGTATAATCCTGCATCTGTCAGCACAGACCAGCTGCTCTCTGCCTTCTTGGATATGATCCTGGTTGCACAGCTGGCCATTGGCTGCCTGAGAGTGTTGATGGCCCCGGGAGCATTCAGCAACTCATGGCATCCTGTGTTTATCTGTTCCTGCAGAGTCAACAGCACCGCTAATCTCTGGATTCGTGGGAGGCTTTCACCAGCTATCTCTCAGCACACTCATCCTTCTTTAGCCTGCTATTTTCTGGGTACTGCTTCTCCATCCATTCTGAGTGTACCCATCCACAGGAAAAGAAGACCTTTTCAAAGCAAGAGTTCAATCTCAAGCAGTGCAGCTGCAAAGATGCAGTACCCTGTGCAGGTATCAAGCACTGGTCAGATGAGGCTATGGTGGAATATCTCCTCTCCCTGTCTGGTGCTAGAAAGATCATGTATTCACTAACAATCCTTTTGAAGCTAAAAAGAATGGCCAAAGCCAAGCAATGTAATGACAAGTGTGGGACACATGAGCTGAGCTGTGAGCTCCCTCCTCACAAAGAGGGAAGTGCTGGAGTACATAGGTCTGCACTTGAGTTATGCCCCCAAAACAAAACTTAATCCCTAATGAAAACCTGCTTCAGTTGTTTGCATGACCCCAAATGTTTTCCCATGGTCACAAATTTCACCTGAGCATGCAGAGGACATACAAACTGTTTCCATCAGAAAAGGCCCAAATATTTAGTCTATCTCAATCCCATAGTCACCCTAATCCCACTACTAATCCCTATCAGTCCTAAACTAAAATTAACCCTAGCTCTATTTCTACCACTGAACACACACACTAAGCCTATGCCTGCCATTAGTCCTAGGAAAAAAGATTTTATCAGTGAAACTAATATGGTGCATTTATTCATCTCCCCCCACATCAAAACTTCCCTAAACTAATTCAATTGTCCTGAGAAAGCTTCAACCCACTAAAAAACTTGGAAGTAGGAGGACATAATCATAACCTTACATGAAAATTCAGCATTAATCCCAACCTTAACTGCACATCTCATGCAGAGAGCATTTCTCAAACAGCTGCCAGGTGGTGCAACCTCTGTGTGGAGTGCCCAAGAAGATCTGGGCTTTGAAAACCCCAGATGACTCTAGTCTTCCTTTGGCAATTCATCTCCAGTCCCAACATGCTACCTCTCCTTGCTATCCCTATGGCACAGTTCTGTCAAGCACTCAGACACGGCTCCTTTTCAAAAGTATTCTTCTATTTTCCAGCCATTTTGTTGAGAGGAAGGGGTGCGAAGTACATCAGCTTCTACACAACATGGCAGTGTAAGACATTCAAACTACAGCAACAAACAAACAAATACTATTTCCATACGTCAGTGGATGGCAGTGCTGATGAGGAACTCACAGTGAAAGGAAGTGCTTCTGATGGGATGGGAGCCTCTGTACAGATAAATTTTAATCAGTTTCCTGCAAAGACTGCATTTGGAAGAGTATCAAATAATATATGAATTCAGGTAAGATAAAATTAATTAGTAACCAGAAGTTTCCATCACACAGGAAAAACTCAGTGTTGCCTAAATGTAACATAAATGTCAGGTTGGTAGAGACCTATAGGGCAAATAGAAAAAGGAGCCAGGCAACCTGTGCCCTGAGTTACAAATCCACTCAATTTCTCCACAGTTCAAAGAAAATAAGTGTCATTGTGTATCTCATGATCTCTACCTCCAGAATAAGTAATAGATTTGCAGTTGATTTCAGGGTGTCCAAAAGGGAGGAGCTGTGACACCAGATCCCTCTTTCCCCAGCACCAAAAAAATGCCAGCATATCTCATATCCTGCCTCCTTCCTGTTCTGCAGCACTCCAGCTTTACCCATCTTCCTTCCCTACCTGTCTGTCCTAGTTCTCTACATCAACACTCCTTTGGGCACCTATTCTCTCTCCACATGTGATCTCTTAACTTCCTATGTGCTCGCTCTCTTCTTGGCACTCTGCATTTTCTTGGAAGGAAAGTCTCGACTTTGAATATGAATATGATCATTGACATCTCAGACCAAGCAAATATAAAATTCATGATCTCAAAAAACATCTGAAAGACAAAAAGTGTTTTGTGCATGGTTTACAGCATTGTTGTCTCCTTGTCTGTGACCTCCTTTTCCACATACACCATCTTTGTACCACATCAGGAAAACAGCCTTTAGAAGAGGTCAGAAGCTATCAGGAGCACAAAGGCAAACATTTTCATCATATCATGGCATGACAGAACTAAACCTCTGAAATGCTTCCAATACCCAAAGCTGTATCACTTCCAGAGCATAAGCCTTCACCTGAAGACAAGACAGAACTGTTAGAAAAGGCAGATTCATTCAAAGAACTTGCAAATCTACAGTCACCCCCCCATCCTATGCTCCTTTATTTCAGCCTCTCCTTCTGATCTACCAACTAGAAAACAAGCACTCTTCCCTGCAGACTCAAACTCTGCCTCAGCCCCTACTCCCTGTTCACTGGGACATTCTGTCCTATGCTTGCTGAAAGTTTGGCCTTCCGCATGTGATTAACTGATCCCAGAAGAGCAGCTTCCCCTCCTCCAGATATCTGGTGTGTGAACAAAGCAAGAACAAGCCTGGGAACACCATGGGCAGCTTTATCCTATGTTATGCTGGCTGTGGATCAGTGTGCTTCGGGCCTACCTGAAGGCCTGGGGAAGGCTTTCCATAGCACCCCTCCTTTCACTGCTGTTTCGTCTAAGGACAGCCCAACCTAGGGGTCGATTGGGGAAGGAGCCACCAAACATGTCTAGCAGTGCAAATGGAAAGAATACTGCAGAAAATATTTGCTGATAACTTTCATTCTATCCCATCAGCTAAAAACATACATTTGCACGTAACTTGCAGTGCCTTCCAATGCCTCAGATGCAGGAAAAAACCAAACCAGACATTTATCAGCCAAAGATCATAAGACACTCAATATCCATAATACATTATAATACATTAGATGGTCTACTTACTGAATATTATTCAAGGAATAAAGACGTTCAGAGTATACTTTTTTTTTGTACTACACTACCTATATATTCTGTGGTCAGTACTGTGTTTTCTATCTATAAAATTAGCAGTTGGAAACCTGAAATCAAAATTTAAATATATACATATATCCATGATTCTTTCTGAACATGGCACGCAGATCTTTGCAGTAATGGTGGGTTATGGTCATTTCTTCAGCTCTGAGATGTCTTTCTGCACAAAGCAGTGACAGGACAACACACAGCAAGTGGCATACCAAAGTATGGACTGCATGAAGTTGAACTGCATTTTCCCATCCTTACTGCCCTGCTAGCAGTCTCTGCTCACTTGTGTTTCAGGCCAGTCACGCCCAGTGGATCTCAGCCCAAGCTGCTTCTCTCCCAGCCCTGTCCCTGTGAGCTACCAGACAATGAAACTGTAACTGAAAATCCATTCTGCTGCAGAACTGACTACACTGGAACCATTTTGCACGCCTACATTTAGCAAAGATACTTTCGCATACATTCATGCACCCTTCCATTTTCCACTCCTCCAAAGCAGGATAGAGAACATATTTTTGTATTTTTGTAGTGGAAATGTTGCCCAGTTTTGTCCATGGAAGGCAGAGCTGATTTCTGGCTAGATGCCAATGTTCAAGTTCAGGAATGAGATGTTGCTGTACAACTCTGAGAGTGAGTTACTTTCCGGGGTCTGATGAGACATCAGGATTGGAGCATGCTCCTCTGTCGAATTCTCACTTTCTGTGCGCCTAAAAAAGGAAGAAATAGAAAAAGAGAGATGTTGTTTGACCCCAAACTTTTGTCATCTCTTTCACCAGCACCAATAGGAATGTGAAGTAAGACAAGGAGCAGTAGCAGAGACTACTGGTAAGATCTATGCTACAGGAAAACATTTCATACAGGACATTCTGTGTACGCTGAAGGAGTACCTGTATAGATCCAGGAGTGCCTGGATCTATAAGGAGACTGAGGGCTGCTGAGCAAGTCCTCCTTCAGATCACAAGGGAGCAAAGTACCTCCTGTTTTACGACATGATAAAGGCCCAGCCCACGAGGCACAAGGTCCTTTTAAACCATCTTTCTTAATCACAGGGAAGAGCACAAGCTCAAGTTCTGGTCTTCCATGGGACTACCCAATCTTGCAGTAAAGGAGCACGTGCATAAACATAGCTGGCAGTCACATAAACAGATACAGGCACATGCCTACTTACATGTGCGCAGGAGGGGCCAAAAATAAGCAGAAGTGCAGACAATACCAAGGATGAAGGAGGTTTGGAGGTGGATAGTGAAAGCAGGTAGTGAAAATGCAGCACACACCAGTGTTGAGCGTGGAGCAGTGGGGGGACTGGGAGTGTGGCAGGACGAGAGATGCATAGATACACACAACAAAAGTGTGCAGTGGAGAAATTCTGAGGCAGGAAAGACTTCATTAAAGGAGAGAGCAAAACACAGATCAAGGAGAAATAGAAACAGAAGCTCCTAGGGACAGAGAGAAACCATGATGTTTCAGCTCATAGAAGGTGTTAGTAGCAAATGGAACATGAAAAAGGGTGATGAAGTGTAAGAAGAATCAGCAGGATTTGTGTTGATTTGCCAGCAGTGCAATGGCTGTGACTATACTGTGCAGGTGGGTGCCCTCCAGCTGTACTCTGAGTGAGACTTACAGCACAGCATTGAATTTCCTGCGTAAGAGGTAGTCAATGACATCAGGGTCTGTCTGAAACAGTCTCCTGAGGATGCCATGCTGTGTTTCTGGAGAGACCTAGGAGAGACAGACAGACACTGCTCATGGCGCCCTACTGTTATTTCTTTCCCATCATCTGCCTGAGCTTATAATATCTGAACCTCCCACCATCACCTTCTAGCTCCTTCCTTCAAGGAGCTCCAATCTTTTTTTCCTCCTTCACTGGGACTTCTGAGAGCTAAACGGTACTGAAGTGCCACTGCTGCAGCTTTTGGCTGGTTGTTTCCTGTCCCGAAGGAGTTATTTGTGTGGGTAGAAAGTGACAGAATAGATGGGACTTATGAATCAATAGGATTCTATGATTCTATGACCTGTTCGTGGTGTGCCCCTCAGCTCAGTCTTAATGAGACCAGTAACAACCCATCCCAAATTAATATTTACATGTACCATGAGGAATGAATCACATTTCTGCAAGTCACCTGCTGTTAAGTGAGGCTGCGAGTATATCTTTGTACAACCATTAGGAAAGAGTTCAGAGAAGAAAAGGTCTAGAGAAGGTGACCTGAGAAAGCTTCATGTACCTTGAACAAGGTCTGATAATGCTCAATCAGCCTTTGAACCACCAGTATGATAGCTGTACTGTCTTCAAAGTTCATGGCTCCAGCATCTTTTTCTCCAGGCCTCTCTTTCTGAAGGATATTGGGACCAAAGATAGTGGCCAAGTTTGAAACTGTCATTTTATTCCCAGGGATCTAGTAAGCAAGAACAAAGAAAAACTGCAGATGCAGCAACATGCAATATCCAGGATAACCTCACAGGAACATGAGCTACTGAGTGACAAATAGAAAGTTGATCTGGGTCCAGCTCGGTCTTCTCTGAGCATAGGGCTAACCTCAAGGCTGTGTGCAGCCTTTCTTTGCATCATTCCCACTTAACTCACTTTGACAAGCTGTACAAGAAGATGACATCATGTTACAGTTTGGGACAAAACCAATCTCTTTGCATCATGAGAGACCTAGAGCTCAAACTGTCCAGAGAAATCAAAATCAACCTCAGTGAATCATGGTAAGTTCCTCATGACAATTGGAGTTGGAAAAACCTGGGGTTACTGCAAACCAGAAAAATGGAACTGAGAGCAAATTAGACTCACCACAGAGAAGGAAATTAATTGAAAATACGTTTGTTTATCTTTTCCTGTTTTTTCTTCCTTTGCTTTAAAATGTCGCCTGCCCTAGTTTCTGTGAAAACAAAACCCATTCCAGAACCTTACCTGTATGACAGAGTAGCATCAGGTGTGCAGTGTAGAGCAGCCTGGATTATCACCTTTAGCCACTGTTCTAATCAGATGAATTAAAAATGCACAAAACTCCTCAGCCTTTGGCTGGCTCAAGAGTATCCACAGGAGAGAGTCATTGCAAGCCCAAGGTGTCAAAGGATTAAGCCAAGCTTGCAATTACCTTTGGAAGGTCTTCATCAACAAAGCTTAAACAGTCCTTTGCCATAGAGCTGACCACTGTGGATGAGCCTTACCTCCTGGCCATTGGGGCCCCAGGAGTTCTCAGCATGCTGTGCCACCTTGCTAAGGAACTGCAGGAGACGGTGCAGCGTGTCACTGTGGCAGGGGGGCAGCAGGAAGAGCAGCAGCTGCAGCACAGCCAGCTGTTGTGGGCCCTCCATAGCTGGACAGAGAGAAGATCATTGTTCAGTGCAGTTCCTGGTCTGCTAGACACATATCTCCAGCTGGACAGTTCTACTTTAAATTTGCAGTAACAAGTTCTGGAGGGAGCCAGACAGGTTCTACCCTTTACAGTAAATCAGTAAAGCCAGTATTTCATCCTGCCTATGCAGGGATGTAATGCATTTAATACTGTGCAGACCGTGACCAAAGACTATCCTAGGCCAGTGAGCCTATAATCTGGTTATTGATGTGGAAGCAGAGAATCCAGGATTTGAATCATCAAATATGAGAAGGATGGAAAGGAGGGGAAAGAGAGACAAAGAGATGGTGAACCAGACCAAGAAAGTGTGAGAATAGCAGCGGAGACAGTCTAAAAATGCAGTCACCCTAACTGTGGAGGGTAGATGGACCTGGACAGAACATTTGCAAAGACACCCTTAGGAGTGGAAACCACTGGGCTGAGATACTGCATAGCAAGTTGAACTGTGCTGGAGCCTGGTGAATGCACAAGGAGAAAATTCCCTTTTTTCCATACAAAACCAGAAGTAATGGGTGGACTGTGAAGAAAGAGAGCAATGCACTCTGAGTGCTTACAGGCTGTGCTGAGGAAGGCTGTGTAGAGCTCCCTGGGAATCAGTGAATCTGGCATGTCACGAAGAAACTCTTTGAGCAGAGCAGCGACATCATGAACACTTTGATGCTCATCCAAGAAGACATCCAGCCCATGGTCAAACTCTTCTCTCAGCTTAAAGGTGGAAATGAGAAGAATAAAACCAACAGTCACACTGTCAAAAAATGTTCCTTGTACAGAACTGCTGAAAGGAGGCATGCCAGAACCCAAGAGCGGCTTGCTACTGACAAGAGGGAACTCTGAATTGCCATTAGGTGAATGAGGCTTAACTGCTAAAGGCAGCTTGGAGAGATGAAGCTTGCTATCCAGAGCTGGGCAAAGGACTCAACAGGTTACAGATTGCTTGTTCTCCAGTATATTCCTGCAATATTTTAGACCACATGCCAATGTCTGCTTCATTCATTCACCTTCCACACAAACATTTATCCTGTGGATATGAAAATGCAGAAAGGATGCAGTGAGTGCCTCACTTTACCTGCTGAACTCTTTTCTTGGAGCTCCCAACCCGGAAGATGCCCACCGTTTGGAGACCTGGAAGACAGACAGGTTAGTGCTCTGCATTCCCACAGCACCTTGTAGCACCAGGGCATGTTAACATCATGGAAACAGTTATCTTGCCCTGCTTATGAGGCAGTGTGTTTTTCTCTGTTCTTGGCAGAGACAATAAGAAGAAAGGTTTGGGAGCTACAAGATTTGCTGGGGTTATCTGTGGCTCAGGAAGGAGATCTAACCTTAAAGTCACTCCAAACTATAAATTGGATTTACAGGGGAGGTTAAGGCCAGCACAATAGGAATGGATTGATTGATACACGAGTGACATTCACCTCTCAGTCCAGTGGTTACCCCCAGCTTGGAGAACTCTTGCCATGTGACTGCTCAGCAGTGCATCCTGCCCCAGAAATTTGCTGCTGCCTTTTCTCTCTGAAAACTTCCAGGCCAAACAGCCCTGGCCCAACACCTACAATAGCTTTTACCATCCTACTTTGGGACTGGTCATCTGGCTGGAGGGAAATCCTTATTTACCATATGTTTCAATGTGTTTGCAACATCTGTCCACAATCCGTGGGACCTGCCAGCTGATGGGGTTGAGGCTTAACATCTTTTTCTTGCCCAGGTTCCTCCGGGGATCCAGCTCATGGGGATGTGACAACTGCAGTGCCTCCAGCAGCTTGGAACTGTTGCCACTCAGTTCAGTGATGCAGTCCACAGACATGGCTCCCTGAGATGAAGCAGAGGTGATTCACAAGGTGGCAGGAACTGTCCCACAGGACACCACCATGGTTGTTACCATAGAAGTTAGTGACAAAGAGAAGCATGGCCTCCGAATGAATATAGAGGTCTACAATGAGCCTAACTTGGGTTGTTATAGAATCACAGAGGAACATTTCAACTGTTGCGCCTTCATTTATGTGCACTGTTCCTAGCGTGTTTCTAAAAACAGCCTTCCTACTGGGACAGAGCCTATACTGCATGCAGACATGGGGAAAGAATAAACATCCCCAAACCTGCCATCTTTATGCAATGTACTGGATTTAGTCACCTACATTGGAGTTTCTCTACACCAGGATTTACAAGGATGTGACAGAGATCAGGCATGGGTCTCTGCTCCAAAGAAATGAAGCAAACTTAATCCAAGTTACTACATACATCCTCTCACAAAAAAATAGAACTAAAACCAAGGTGGCCGAGGCTGACCAGTTGCACCCACCTTCCTTGTTCTTTGATGCAAAAAGAGTCAAACACTGCAAGCAGATCATCTCAGCATCGTTGCCCCTCCACCAGTGAAAAGGGTCTCACCCTGCTTTGTGGAGCCAGCAGGACCCACCATCAACAATCAATTTCTGATGGGAGTTCAGAAAATCTGAGGTCCTGTCTCTAACTGCTACATTGCCAAAAATCTGAGATGACAGATGCTGGTACTGCTCAACACGATGTTATTCAGTGGAGGGTCTGAAAAATCTACACTACTGATGATGAATCTACTCCCATTCCTATCTGCTGTAATAGGAATCTGGCCTTGTTGCTTCTGGGGACCTTGGCTTTCCTGAGCTCCAAGGCTCCATAACAGCTGGTATAGGCTGGCCCACTCCTCACAGTCCATCTCTTCTGTAGCATTAGCCCCTGAGCGCATGAACAGTAGCCATCACATTTGCCTGAGCCTCCCCAGCCTGCAATACTATCGCAACGATTCTGCCACAGAAGTTAGCTCATTTCTGCAATCGTACCCTTCGTTGACTCCAGGAAGAGTTATGGTCAGGAAAATCTGGGGAAAGAGGCTCTTCAGGGAACACTTCATAAGGTACCAGCAAACAGCCCCTGCCCAGCGGGGATCTCTTCTGCATCTGAGCCCGAAAGTTTGTCACTGTTTCTTCCACCTCCACGCAGAACCGGCGGCTGCTCTTCACTGTTTCTTGCAGTTGTCTGTTTGCACGGTCATTGGCAATGACTTGGCACAGTGGGATCCCAAAAGTCTGAGGAGAGCAGTCTAAGAAAAAAACATGGGAGAGATGGAAAAGTATTGTTAGCAGTGAAAATCAACTAGGGCAGCACAGGCCAGCTGCCAATGACACACGTGCATGGCCAGGTAAAATAATTAACTCACAGAAGAGAATACCACGATACTGTAAAGGTAACGACCAGCAAGAGTGCAAGCAGGACTGCATGTAAAACAGACTGAATACATGAAAAGGAGACATGTAGCTAGAGTCCAAGATGGCAGACCTGCAACTATCAGTCTCTGCTCTCAGTTTCTCTTCCATTTCCCTAGGAACCTGAAGTGGGCAGCAGAAATATCCCAAGCGAGCCAGAGCAAAACCAAGGGGAGCTGCTGTCCTTGAAAAGGACTGGGACATTGCTGTGATGGCACTCAGAGTGCTGGGCAGCATGGCAGGCAAGTGGGGAGAGCTCCATGAGAAAGACAGCAGGCTGAAGGAAGAGGAAGGAAATGCAGGGAGCATGCCAACAAAAGCAGCCTCCTTCAACATGCTTGTTGCAACTTGCCTCAGTTTTTCTGAAATTTCTTTTCTTTCATAGGTCACAACCCTATGAAGACACCCTACTATCTATTAAGCATAGATTTTAAGTCACCAGAAATATTTTATACCAAACATTATTAGCAAATTATAACCTCCAGTCTCCTACAGGGTTTGCATCAGCTATGTCTGTTCAGAGGTGACAGTCTTGGTACTAATGAAATGCTGGTCAGAAAAGGATCCAGGGGTATTGGTCAACAGCCAGGGGAACGTGAGCCAGCAGTGTGCCCAGGTGGCCAAGGCCAATGGCATCCTGGCTTGTATCAGCAATAGTGAGCCAGCAGGACCAGGGAGGTGAACATCCTTCTGTGCTCAGCACTGATGAGGCTGCACCTTGAGCACCATGTTCAGTTTTGGGCCCCTCACCACAACAAAGACATCAAGACCCCAGAAAAGGGTAACAGAGCTGTGAAGGTTATGAAGTACAAGCCTTACGAGGAGTGGCTGAAGAAGCTGGGGTTATTTAGGCTAGATGAAAGGAGACTTGGGTGAGATATTATCACTCCCTACAACTACTTGAAAGAAGGTTGTATCAAGCTGGGGGTGGGGGGCCAGTCTCCCAGGCAAAAGATAGGACAAAAGGAAATGCCTTTGAGTTGCACTGGGGAGGTTAATGTTGGATATCTGGAAAAAATTCTTCACTGAATGGGTTGTGAAGTATTGGAGCACACTGCCCAGTTATGTCCCCATCCCTAATGATATTTAAAAGTCATATATATGTGGTGCTTAGGGACATGGTTCAGTGGTAAACTTGGCAGTGCTAGGTTAATGGTTGGACTTGATGATCTCAGAGGTCTTTGCCAATCTAAGTGATTATGTGACTTTTTCCACAAATAATTCTCCCATCCTCCCCCCCCAACTCCTTGTGGATACTAGAAGACTCTTCCTTATTTGCAGCATACACGTCACCCTGGGCCAAAGGGTTTTGCAGCAGAGCATGAGCCACAAATTCATTTTATAAATTATCAGACTGCTAGTCAAAATTTTCTTTGGGTGGACTTTTTGTGCTTTGGTGAAGAAAATTATTAAGTGCTCATTCCCAGCTGGTTGTGCACTAGACTTCTGCTGTTCCTAGCTTTTTGGCTTACATCCTTCAAGGGAAGTCAGAAGTCAGAAGTCAAACAGAAAGATTGGGGGTTGAATGAGCAAGTAGACAAGACCACACCTTTACACATACACATTTGTGCAAACACACACTCATCCTTCTACAGTCTCTCGTGGCTATGTATGCATCATTACACATCACTGCAGAAAACCAAAGCAACATGACAAATCACTTTGCTAACTTCAGATACTTGGCTCAGCCCCGTTAAAAATCACCCATTCTGTTTGAGAGTAGTGACCAAAACCCTGCTAAGGAGGAGGCTACTCACCTTTCTTCTCCTTTGAAAAGCTCTCCAGTTTCTGACGGATAGATTTACTGCCCTTAGGTCCAACTGTGGGGAGAAAAGCAAAGGCTCTGCATCATTAGGCTGCTTTGGCACAGTCCCATCTTGAAGCTGTTTACCTTTCTGCACCCTCACAGGTAGAACATGTCCACAGGCACCTCCTTCAGGTAGGGGGATACTGTGGACATGACACAGTGCTGTTACAGACCATGCAGGACAGCACACTGGCATCAGCTGCATGGGGGACTACTGTCATAGAATTACAGAATCACCGAGGTTGAAAAAGACCCTACAAGATCATCCAGTCCACCTATCACTGATAGTTTTCTCTAAACCGTGTCCTGCAACTGACAACTGTCCTCCTGAAGTGGAGGAAGGGGCCCCGGCCCCTCTGAAGCCTGACACCTGGACAGCAGGATCCCATAACACTAAACTGTGGATTAAAAGCAACTCAAGTGTGGGACTCACCCCTATCTGGCTAACAGCAAGAGGCATCTGAGAAGTATGACTTGTTCCAGTATTTTGCTGCGTAAGTGAAGTGCCTCCTGCCTGCGTATGAGGCTGTACATAGGAAAGCCTTCATTGCTGTAGAGCATGTCATGGAAGATTACTGCCCATGCATGATAGTGGGGCCTCTTTCCCACATCCTTTTGCATTAAGGCCAGACTCTTGAGCCCCATTTGTGATATGACAGACCAGGGTAACATGTTGCAACCCACTGCTTGCACTTAGTTCTCCATGTATTTCTGCTGTGCCTACAGCAATTGCTCCAGACTTCTACTTGGCTTAAGGCAACACCATACCTTACTGCACCTTCCCAGCTACCAGGCATGGTAGACATGTAATCCAGGAATGCACGACAACTGCAAGCTAGTGTTTATGAAATACAACGCAGGCAGCAAAGTAATAAGGATTACAAAAAAGAATGAACCACAGCTGATCTTTCTGGTGGCATCCCAGCTTCCCACATCCCACTCCTGATATGCGATAGCTATAGAGTGTGTGGGATATGCTGCAGCCAGCATATAGTTCTTGCACACGAAAGGCCAGTGGTAAAAGCCTTTGCTGCCCAAAGGCTGTAGAATAAAAGTGTTCTGGCCACTTTAAATCCTGTCATGTTATATGTGACCCTGAATTGATAGTGATGTTCTAATGATCACCTGAACACTGGGAAAGCTGCTTTAATTCAGACTCAGAGGTCTGGTCTTGATACTGGAAAAAGGAATACAGCCCTATAACTGTTTCTGAACTTTTTTTTTTTTCCCCACATAATATAAACAAAAAAATTAGACAAAACATCACCCAGAAATCTCATTTTGGTCCTAGACAGCCAAGCCCCACACTTAAGTAACCTCAGACATTCACATCCAGGAACAGCAGTCACCATTTTTTCATCGCATCAATTAACTGAAAACTCATCCATTAATCACTCTAAATCTTCCCAGAACACATCATCCTACCCTGGCCTTTGCCATTTATTAAGAATTCTATTCTTAGACACAGCTTGTATAAATGTTTGGGTTATTTTGCAAGATTTAGAAGGAAGCTACTTTGATATGAACAGTATGCACATGAAAACACAGTGTACATTAATCATTATACAGCACTGTATGTTTTGCTTCATTAAATGAATAGCAAGAAGTTGAAGATCCATCTGGAACAAAAAACACTACCCAGATATAGAAGAAAAAACGCCAGCAAAACCCCACTGTTTAAACATACAGTCACAATAACTCTCTACTCCTGGAGCCATCCAAATGTTCCTAACAGAAACAAACCAGGAGGCAGCAGATAGTAAAGAAACCACATGGATCCCCCTCTACAGAAGGCATGAGCTGCTATCTCCGTGGCAGAGTAATGCCTATGACCTACTTCAAACTTGGGAGACAAGGGCAACTTCTTTTCACTGGTAGTTGTACCTCCTTCAGAAATTTCATCTTGTTTTGATCTTCTCCTACTTGAACAACAGACTTGTTCTTGCAGAATTGACCAACATGAGATTATAGTGTCCATCAAAAGGATCTTCTGCAGTTCAGGAGAGCCATCCCAGAAGTGGCTATTTACTGAAAAGTCTGCAATGCTGCAGAAGTTTGTTGGGACTGAATGAGGAGAGTAGCCCAGGGATATTAAAAGCATCCAAAAGGGTGGCTCACACACCCTGTGTTCCCCACAGTGTATGGTGAGGATTAAAGAAGATGCTGAACATGTTTTCACTGAGGGAAGTAATAACAATCATATGATGGCTGTTTATTAAAGAGAGCTATTTATCAAAGAAATTTCACGTAGGCAGTTTTTGGAACAAGCACAGACAGGTCAACGTACTCAAATGGAGACAATGAAGACCAAGTTCAGACACTTCCAAACATTATGAATCTCCCTTTAATACATCAAGTCAGGAGAACAGTGTTGCAGGTGCAATATTTTCATAGCTAATTCTCATCTATTCTTTTACATTGACTCCCAGCCAACGGACTGAAAAAAAAAAAAGGTAGAAAGCTGAGGGATACAGAGACAGAGCTAAGGAGAAAGGAATTCACTGAAAAGCATTTTCTTCAAAAACCAAGTGAACATAAGATACATAACACACACAAAGATGAGATCAGGAGTTTACACTCCCTGAGCTCATTCTGCAGGAAAAGAGGAACCTGACTGACAGAATGCAGGACACAGAAGGAAATTGTCGATTTGCTTCTCACCCTGCTGTTGTTCTGTAGAGAAGCTCCTGCTGCATGATATCACTGAGAACGGTTCACAACAGCTCAAAACAAACAAACAAATTGGGGAGAGCAGAATGTTTGTGAACAGAGTTCCCCAGGGACTGAAAGAAACTGCAGTGGCTGCTGCTGCAGCCCTGGGGTGGTTGGATATCCTGGGAATGAGAAGGGAACTTTCTTCTCTTTCACTCTTCTTGAAAATATTTCGTGCAATGGAAATGTTCCAAAATATTCCAAATATTAATAAAACAAGAAACAAAACTTGAATGTCACCCAGAATAAATAGATGCAGTTACGTTCTGGCACCTGTTTTCTACACAATATGAGTCTGAGGATGAGCGATAGAACAAACTCCTTCTCTGTAGCAGCACCCCAGAACTGGGGGGCTCCAGCCCCAACCTCCTATATCAGTGGTGGCAACAGCTGTGAGTGGGCAGTGAGGCTGGAGAACCCTTTGCAACTGCTCTGCTAGTGTACAGCTCATGATTAATAAGCATCTCTTGCCATACTGAGATGCCAAAATAAGGCCCAGAGCATAGAGAATGCATTTGCATCTGGTCTTCCACTGTTAAATTACAAGTATAATTTGAGAAGCAGTCAACTGATTCTCAGCTCATAGTGCTTACTTGGTTAGATGTATAGTCGTTAGGGAACATAGGCAGTTATGGGAACCCAGAAAATGCCTTTATTTCTTTGTAGGCCGGGACAGAGGACCATAATCCTCTGTGGAATTTCTATATTTATCTGCCCATTAATTTCAGAAGCATATCCTCTAGCCTTGCATAAGCCCCATCTCAGCATCAGAGCTTTGTGCAGAACATTAATCCACAAAACAAAGCTTACCCCATCCCAGTGGAATTGCCCCGCTGGAAGCCCTTGCTAAATCATGTTGTATCTGTTTTGGATTAGGAGGACCAAAGGCAGGGTAATATTCTCACACTCTTATCGGCAAACAAACCCTCCCCAAAAGGTTGCTTCAGCCTCCAGTGCTCAGACCAAAGCAGGAAACAAACAAAACAAAAAAATGGACAAAAACTTTTAAGTGAAAGTGTCACAAATACCAATCTGTAAACATCATCCCACATTATGAAACGCAGGAGTGTGGATAAATAGAACTAAAGGCTCAGACCTCAGTCCTCCCCTGGCAGATGCCATCCTCTCCCACCTTTAGCCAGGCTGAGATCTCCAACAAGCAGCTTTTCTTGCAGCTGGTAGAGGGCTAGCTCCTGCAAACTGGCTCTTTCCAGCTCTGAAAGGCTGTGCAGGGACACAGGTTGCATTTTGGTGCTTTGTTCTGGCAGAAGAGCTGAGATGAAGGTCCTCTGAAAAACACATACATAAAAACAAGAGTCAGGATTACTTTACCAACACACCTGCTTAGGATAAGAAGCAACTGAAAATGCCACACAGTGTCTTCCCAAGCGCAGACATCCTGCTTCCTCCTCTCCAGAGAGCGTGCTGGTTTGTGACCACACTGCCCCACTGCACTCTTCCAAACAAAGGCCTTTACAGGCACCAGGGATCTCAGCCCTCGCTCTTGAAGTCTCACAGGATCCCAGGGGCCTCTTATTGCTTGGGAGAGACCTTTCTGGCCAGGTGCTCTTCTTTCACATCATTAGTCCTCCAGCTGTACCCACTGACCTTAACCCTCAGCTGCAAATACTTGTTACTATTATTGGAGATCAACTCTGGGTTTGTTCAGACTCAGACTTACTTCATCCTCCCTCTCTAAAAAGGAGCATCTGACAAAAACCTCCTGGAAGCCTCAGCATTTGCCAGACACCATCCTCTTGTATCACCCCTGCCCTACAACAACTTCACCAAGTCAGGAGACCCAAACCTTTTGGCATAATACTAACAGGTGCCAGCAGTCAGCTTCATAGAAGTTTGAAGAGCACTACTCCCAGCGAGACCTGACTGCAGCTCAGCACAAGCAAAACCTTAGCATCTGAGTGGAAAGAGTTTATGATGAGACACTAGCCTTGCACCAGTCTTTACAGGATCCTGTGCATGTGCACACAATTCTTTCCATTTACCCAGATCACTGTGCTGGATACATGGGATGAATAACTGAGAACTGGCAATTTCCTGAGAACAGCCTTGAGTATCTCAGTATGGTTTATGGTGGCTGCGGGAACACTGGAGTTACAGGCAGACCAGTACATCCTCTCTCCTCGTGTATGACAAAAGAACATGACAACAATGTCTTGTAGCAGGATACTAACCTGATGGAGCAATAGCAGAAAAAAAAAATTTACTCACCCTTTCCAATTTACCAATGACTGGCAGCAGTTCAAGAGGAGAGCAACCTCTATCCAAAGAAATACTGCTACCTTGGCTGCTAACCCTTAAATGAAAGCGAGGAGGGGGGTGTCCAGGCTCTTTTTCATTACTCAGGTGCATTGCCTGCACCTGAGCTCCCTTGGTTAGCCATGCCTTCTCACCTAGTGTTCAACTATTGGTTCAGGCTGTGAGGTGGTAATTGCACTGCACCTCCTATGGTGTGCACCACCAGGGCAATCCCTTCCCTCACCCAATGGCTGTGCTGGGCCTGATGCACCATAGGGTATGGTGGGCCTTTGGGCTACCAGGGTACACTGCTGACTCAGATTCAACTTATTATCACCAGAAACCCCAGCCCCCTTTCTGTGGCACTGCTCTCCATCCTCTTGAACCCCAATTTGTATGTAGCCAGGGTCACCCTGTCCCAGCTGTAAAATCTGGCACTTGCTTTTCTCAAACTGCATGTGGTTGGTGACTGCCAACCCACATTAGTTAAGATCACTCTTCAAGGATTCTCTACCCTTGAGGGAGTCAACAGTTCCTCCCAGTTTAGTACCATCTTCAGAATTCTGCAATCTTAAAATCAGCACACACCCCACTAAATAAGACTTACAGCCCCATTTTATTCAAAGTTGTTCTCCTCTTCAGCAGTAATTGAGAGAAAGGAACAGCATTAGCAGCACATACATAGAAATGACATAGTAAAAGTACAGCTATGAAGGAGCTTTCCCGAGGAGGGCTTTAAAGCAATAACCAAAAATAAATGGCTGAATAACTCCCAGAGGCAGAGACAAGGGAGAAAACACCCAGGAGTTCCGGCCCATGTGGTGTAAGCAGACAGTCGGTACAGGTTCTTGTGGTAGCCTCAGCACATTATTGACTGCACACCTCCATTGCCTGTGCCTGGGGACGAATGTTGTCTGGGGCAGTGTTTGCTTTGGCCAGGTTTTCAGCTCCTAAACAGATTTAGAAAGTTATATAAATTTTAAAAAAGAAAAAAATAAAAAAAAAAAAAAAAAAAAAGTTGTTATGAGCTCCCCTGAAGGGCAAACCGTAAATGGAAATTTAGCTAAAGGCAAAGATATTCTTGCAAGATTTGAAGTTTAGAACAAAAACTACGTGCCTCTGCAGGGATGACAAAAATGAGATGCAACACAGCCAAATTGTCTGGTAGTGCTCAGCACCTCTGTACAATTAAAAACCTGCCACTGGGGTACCCAGGTGCCCATGGCTGTCCAGTACACTGGATCAGGCTAAAGCTCCAGTAAGACCTGGTGCAATGCTGTTTACATTGCAAGTAACCCTGCAGATAGCTAGACTTAGCACTAAGCCATCCAACGTTTGCAGCTCAGGGAGGCATTAACAAGGAAGCCAGAGAGACACAATATCTGATGGAGGCATTCGTGTCCTCCTTGAAAACAAAGATTTGGATTACTCCACTATTAAAAAACATCAGTTCTGCTGCTTTGTTTGGCTTCTCCTTAGCTGATCTGATCTATCCCTCCATGCGAACCCTTCACACCAGACTCATGGGAGACCCACCATTTATAACTCAGTACATTGCTTTTTATAACTTTCACACTGGGGGGAAAAAAAAAAAAAGAAAAAAAAGTGGAAGGAAAATATATTTTATTCATGGTCTCAAAGGGATTGCATCTTAATAGTCACTTAAAATACGCTTTAACTGGTCCTACCAAATTTTACAGAAAGAGTGCTGAACTCCTTGAGAGCAGCCCTGAGGAGAAGGGCTGTTCTGGTGAGTAAAGAGCTCATCACAAGCCAGCAGTGTGTGCTTGCAGCCCTGCAACCGTATCCTAGGCTGCATCAAAAGGGGGGTTTGTGCCTTTCTGCTCTGCCCTCGTGAGGCCCCATGCAGAGCTGGGGCCCAGAGGAAGGTCTTGAAGGTGATCCGAGGGCTAGAGGACCACTCCTATGAAGACAGGCTATGGGAGCTGGATGTGTTCAGTCTGGAGAAGGCTGTGGGGAAACCTCATTGCAGCCTTCCAGAACTTAGAGGCAGGAGGGGGAATGAATTTTTACACAGTCTGATAGTGATAGGAGAAGGGGGAATGGTTTTAAACTAAAAGGGGAGATTTAGGTTAGATGTTAGAAGGAAGTTTTTTACTCAGAGGGCAGTGAGGCCCTGGCACTGCTGCCCAGAGAGCTGTGGGTGCCTCATTCCTGGGGGTCCCCAAGGCCAGGTGGGATGGGACCTGGGCAGCCTGAGCTGGTGGGGGCAGCCAGCCCATGGCAGGGGTTGGGACTGAATGAGCTTTAAGGTCCCTTCCAACTCCAGCCATTCTGTGACTCTATGATTCTACAAGATTAAAATGCTGACTTTGACAGGCAAGTACAACTCCATCTGCCAGCAATAGCTTGTGTGTTTCTGCCATGCCAGGAGTCTGGGATGGGCAGAAGTGGTGTCTAGCTAGGAGCTGCCTGGCAGCACATGCACAGGTCTGCTAGCATCAAATGCTGCAGATGGAGAGACAAGTGCTGAGAGTCAAACTGAAGGAAATTACCTTTGTGTAGATGATGCTCACGGCTCCAGGCAGAGACCCTGCCTGAGCTAAAAAGATGGTCAGAGCATCACTGAGGATGCAGCTGCCTTGGGGAAATGAGGAGGAAGCCTGATTAGGATAGAGAGCAGAAAAGAGAGTAAGCAGGAAGGAGAAGTTGGGTCTTATCTGGTCCTATTCCACAATCTTTAAGAGCAGCCTTATAAAATACCACCGTCACTAGTTTTATAATAAACTTTTTGTTCAGTGGTTAACCCTCAAAATCCTGGCCTTCTTGCAATAACTGTATATTTATGCTCATGGGTGCAAGCTAGATTGAGAACTACACCAGCAACTTCCAACTCTCGCTGATCACAGCATACAAACTCGTGGATCCCATGGGTGTCCCAAGATATGTGAAGCCCTGCAGAGCCTTGTATGAGATTAGAAGAATAGCCTGAAAGGAGGAAAATGCTGATACACAGTCAGGGTAAAAACAGTAATAAAGAAAAAAACCCTTCAAAGGCGGTTATCATAAAAACTGCTGTATTAACACTAAAGCAGAAATTAAATCTTTCATTGGTAATATTAACATGGCACTTCCCCTTTGCAATTACTTTCTTTGCATATTTTTAGGACTAGGCCCTATTTAAATAATTTCATGGGAAAAGCTCAGCACATCTGCCCCTTCTAATCCCATACAGCTGCATTAACTCCCCCTTTTTCAGCAGTAAAGTCACTCTATTTCAGCTGGAATGAAGAACATGCATTTACCTTCCTCCTTTCCTTCTCACAGCATCACCAGTGACAGCCTAAGTTCACTTCTTTTCCTTCAGGATGATGAATCTTAAAGCAGTGTTTCCACCATGTCCACATGCAGCCCATGCAGAGAGTGAGGGAGTCTCCTGCTTGCTGGGAGGATGCAGTGAGAGAAGTGGAGAAGTGATGGGGAGGAGAAGTTGCAGCTGAAAGTAGACAAGGGGAGGAGAGGGGTGATGAGGAAATGAATTTTCTGCCAAGAGAAATGAGAGCAAGAAACATCCTGTGGAGACAGAGGGCAGCACTTCCCACGCCTGACAGTGTTTATTCCTTGGCAGAAAGGCTTATTGCTCAATTCCTCATCCCCATGCTTTCCCTGCCCTTATCTGTTAACAACTAGGACACTCATAAAAGCAGTAGCTTTCCTGCCAGATGAAACCTGAAAGAGAAATTTGCTGCTTTGGTGCCAGTCAGCAAAGGCGAGTGGATGGTTTTCACCTTGGCTCTCCTCCATGAAGACCTCTAAACTGTTCCATCACATGGTATTAGAGATGTCCCTAGTGCAGATTGGTGTGGGCAGGATGGGCCAGGCACACAGCTCTTCTCTGTATCCATCAGGTCCTATGCAAAGAGCTGGCATTAAAGAGCTCACAGGCATGATGGAAAAGGTGTTCAGCTGGCATCTCATATGACATATTGAGTGTGGTGGTTACCGATACCAGAGAGCCTTACACATCAACCCACAAAACATGTGTGTTAAAGCCTAAAATGAACACCCTGCGCATCAAGCACTTGGGGGACCACAGGACAGGCTTATGGTCTGTGACTTTGCGATATGGTGCATCCAGTTCCCTGCAGGGCCATGCTGCCTCTGCTCTGCTGGTGACTGGGCAACTGCAGGGCCAGCTGTGCTGCCTGTCATCACCGCTGTGCACAGCTGGGAGAAGCTGAGTCCAGCTGAGAGCTTGGTGCAGAGCCCTGGGTGGAAGCACTACTGCTCTTGGCAGAGAGGAAGCACTGAATCCTCTTCATGAGTCTGTGTGCAGCATGGAAGAAGGGTGACTGTCAGGAAAAGGTTTAATGAAGAACAATCTGCTACTGCTCCCATGGACACTGGGATGTGTATCAAATCACAGCACGGGGATGATGGGCCTTGTCTAGGTCTTGTCTCAGAGCCAATGACCCTGCTAACAGGGCTTTCTTCTTTGCAAGGAGCTGCCCTGGCACCTCGAGGACTTGGCTGTTTCTCAATGTCTGCAACTTCTCTCTTGCTTCCAGGAACGACAGAGCCCTGAATGGGATGTGTCGACTCATTTGGTATCTACTCACTGGTGGCCACCCTTTCCTCAGTGGGATTGGCAGTGCCAGCTTCCATGCAGCGATCAAAAACACAGAAAGCTAAAGCTCAGCAAAGCTCACTGCTGAGTAACTCCTGGCTCCTGCCCTCCAGGACATTTTAGTCTCTCACATTACTCTGCTAGCACTCAGATGCCTGCATCATCACACATCCCAGCCTAGACCAACTCTCATATTTCCAGAGCACCTTTCTCCAGGAAAGTCTAGGTTATTCACAGGTTCTTTTTTTAAATGAATACCTCCTGTTCATCTAGGATCTGGTGCTGCTGCCTGGGGGGCTCAGCATCTCAGGGGGCAGCAGGCAGAGCATCAGTTTCCACCAGCTGAACTGCTTCCTTCCCTACATCAGCAGCTCTTTCAGAGGTCACAGCTAGGCTTGCAGCTTCCCCTAGAATGAGAAGCCACTGCATGAAA